CAAAAGAAAGTATTATGAAATCATGGCAAGGGAAGCAGAACAAGCTGCAGGCAAAGGAGACCTCGCAACACTCTACCAAACAACTAGGTACCTATCGGGCAAACGTTTGACACAAATCAAGCCGGTGAAAGATGACAACGGAGCCTACTTGAACATGTAAATCCATCAATATATATACAATTATAGGTATTAGTTAGTGTTAAACAAGCACAGAGTGGCAAATAGATAGTTATAGGTATAATTGATATACAATATTATATCCAAAGATTCAGTGTTTCAAAGGCAAATAATTGTAATAGTTTTTTGCAACTTTTTGACAAGATATTGCACAAAAATCAGAGTTTTAGGTAACTATGCAAATGTAGCGCAGTAATCGAAAAGCGCGCTTCGACGAAGATGGGTTCTCTGAACATAGATAAGACAGAGGTGATGAAGATTCCTGGCCAACACCACCAACAGCAACAACAACAACAGACAACAATCAGCATAAATGGAAGGAACCTGAAAGAAACAACCTCCTCTACCTACCTGGGAAGCATCATTTCAACTACAGGCGGAACTGATGAGGATATCAAAGCAGAGGATTGGGAAAGCAAGACAAGCTTTCACTACTCTCAAGTCTGTGTGGAGGTCAACAGCATTCAGCGTCAAAAATAAGATCCGGATTTTCAACTCCAATGTGAAGTCAGTGCCACTTTCTATACGGATCAGAGACTTGGCCACCGCGTCATAAAGAGCATCTCAAACAAACTACAGACCTTCATTAACAGCTGTCTTCGCTCAATACTACTCAAGATCAGATGGCCGGCCAGAAAAGATCAGCAACAGAGATCTCTGGGAGCGAACCAATCCAGCAGGAACCGATTGTGAAACAAATAGGCAGGAAGAAATGGAGATGGATTGGCCATACTCTGAGAAAACAAACCACCAAGTGACATAACTAGACAAGCCATTGCTCGAGTGGAACCCGAATGGGAAGCGGCGAGTTGGTCGTCAGTGCAAGGATGACTTGGAGGAGGTCATGTGAAGAGGAGATGAAAACGTGTGGGCAAACTTGGAGCCAGGTGAAGAGTCTAGCAGAGAACCGAACGCAGGGCTGAAGCCCTATGTTCCTCTAGGAATTAAAGGATACAATAATAATAATAATAAAATAATAAAATTAATTATCCTTCATAGGCAACACACTCGATAGGGTAGAATAGAGAATTGTATTTTGTTTTTTGAACTGACATTGTTGCCCATTCTTTGTTGAATGTTTTTAATTTGCTATTACCAACCATAACACTTTAACTGGGTCTTAATAGTTACACATAAATATTATATACTACACAAGACATTGTCTTATTTATCATTATTGCCTAAAAATAAACTCGCGAGAGTGAATACATAGACGAATGAAAGAGAAATTAATCCCAGATACATATGATGGATATTAGATGGTTGGAGGCAATCATCAGCAGGAAGCCTTGAACCTGATAGAATTCAGTCTACACCAGAAAAAAAAAGGACACACACATACACATTACACTAGTTACTAGTGTCCAATCAAAATATGATGGATAGTTAGTTAGTGCGTTTATGATAATACTAATGTGTCAGAAAATGCAAGGATCATCAAAAACAAGAGGTGTCAGCAAACGAAACCATAAAAGTAAAGCAAACTTAAATGGACATGGATCGGGCATACGCGCCCGATTGAGGAGGCCGTCGGATGACATCGCGCGCGCAATGCACGTCGTCATTCCTCGAGTGGGATCTCAACGAGAAGCAACGAGTGGGTCGTCAATGCGAGGGTGACAAGGAGGAGATCGTGTTTTGAGGAGGACGAGGAGGAGATGAGAGATTATGGGCAGTAATCGTGGGGTCAGCCAACTGAAGAGGACAGCACCAAATAGAAGAAAGTGGAGTTGTCTTGCTGAAGCCCTATGTTCCACTCGGAACCCAAGGGAGTAAATAAAAAAAGCAAAGTTAAATCCCACTGTATAGTATTCTATATGCAATCGTTATCCAATCTATAGATGCTACAAAACAGGCATCAATGCAGGCTTACGAACAATTGATAGAAGGAGAATAGGAAGAATGAAAATGGTTAATCTTCATGGGAAGTAGACGAGACAAGCATCAACTATTCAAAATATGAAACAAAAATGTTACTAAGAATTATATCTAAGCGGTCGAACCCAGAACCCTCAGGTTATAAGGCGAGCGCACTCGTTGACCATTCCTCCAGCCACTGGGATGGAATCCATAGAGGCCAATACATGAATTCTAGCTCCAACCAAATTCCGATGTGTAGCCCGACACCACGAGACAATGTCACATCATAGACGAGTGTCTCTTCCTGCACCCAATCTGGTCGACCCCAGACTAGTCACAACTTTCCACCAGAACTTCAGACAACGACATTCTGTGGTCAGTTAGTAGATTAATTCTTAAATGTGGGTTTGCACGGATTCGATTGATATTAAGAAGTTTAATCACGCAAATTGGCAGGAATCAGAATTGAAGGGTTATTTTGGTTAACAAACTCACCTTGTAAACTGCCTGAAATTCCTGGGTCTCATCGGTTGTGAGGTCGGTGGTCATGAGAGTATATACTGCCGAAGTCAGTCCCAAACAAGGATGATATACCGCCGCCCCAGTACTCCCTCCTCCCTGGTGGTGTTCATCAGTAATTCTCTCTAACTGAAGTGATGCCATGATCAAACTTCAAGTCGATCAGAGAACCAACACTTGAATATTCAACTAATGCTCACTGGCGACTGTCCCTCTATTCAGGTAGGTAGTTAGTTACCTGAGTTCTAGTGGGAAGTCGTGACCACCAGTGGGGTGCAGCAGGTTGGATCTGAGGACAAATACTCACCAGCGATAATGTTGGCTACTGCCAATCGCGGTATATCGTGAATTGACAGAAGTCGGAATTCATCATGGCCATTGGATTGGGTCCCAGTGGCTAATAATGGTCTACTAGCCCACCACCACCTCGTAACAGGAACCTCCTGCATTCGGACCCTGACGGTTGGTGCGTACTGTCAAAGAGTCCCGAACTAGGATGAAACAGCTATCCAGTACTCCCGCACGCGGGAGGCCCCAATGGTTCTCTAACCGATGTCAAATCATGATGAAATTCTGTAACCAATCAAATCCCTGCAAACGAACACTTGAAAAAAGTATAAAACTTGGGCACTGTGGTAGAGCATAACTCCATTATGGATAAGATTTTATTTTGATAAATCATACAGTGTTGTACAGTAATATTAACTGATGACGTTTCGAGCACAAATTATTGCTGCTAATAATCATATCAAGTTACTCACACAACTTTTTTCCTTCATTTATATACATGAGTGAAATTGATGATTAGACATTTGAATAAAAATCAATATGAGATAATGTACATTCAGAAATAATAATACGAGTGTTATTGAGCAATTACAATTAGATGGGGAAAAAGACGAGTGCTTCTATAGTCATAATAAGTTACTTGTTAGAATGTTGTGATGTGCTTGAATTGAAATAGAATATTAAGATTATTTATTATTCTCTTCTGATTTGACCGGCGGTAATAATATCTTCCATATTTCTGGTATTTGCATTGAGTCATTTCTGTTGCATGTGTTGGGTGTAGACTCAATGAACAAGGATTCCGTAATCAACTTCTCTCTCTACCTTCCTATATTACTCTTTAGAATTTTAACCCTCTCCCACCCTATTGTGTGGTTGTTTGTTAATGAGTGAAGTGCAATTGCTGAGCTTTTTTCTAAATTACTTATCTTCTCGGGGTCAACCATTCTTATCTTAGCTAAATTCTTGTGTTCTGACAATCTGATTACCCCCGATCTACTAGTTTGACCCATATAGTTGACCTCACTCACAGTCATTGCAGGGTATTTTGTAAATTATATTATTTTGTTTAATTGGGTCCACCGGGTCTTTTAGCCCACAGAGCTAGTCCTGCCTGAGTGAGTTTGTAGGTTTGAATGCCACCCTAATTCCTGGTTTGTTATTGAGAATCCTACGTAGGGAGGGTCTCAGATGTCCCCTCCTTATATGGTATTACAGTGGATGACTTATATTCTCTCTTATTCATGTCATCATTACTAGTTCCACAATTATTTTTATTTTGTTTTTGGCCTTTAATTATCTTCCTAATGAATTTTATAGGATAGTTATTCAACACCAACGCTTCTTTTATCTGTTTTATTTCGTCGTTTAGGTCTTTTTTTGTACCAACACTTTGTATCACTTAGTGCTATGGCTTGGTTTGTTAAAGAGTTAACTAAGCCTGCTTTCACAGATGGATAACGGATGAGATGAATTAAAATCTAAATATCTGTTAGAATGCGTTGGCTTTTTATTAACTCTAGTGTGTAGTTTACCTTCTTCTGTTCGCTTTATTTAACAATCTAACATCATAGCTAATTCTCCTTGTTCATTTTCCGATTCAAATGTGAATTTTATTCCCTCTACTAGTCAGTTTATATATGTCAAGAAGCTAGAGATATGTTCTGTTTTTAACACTGAAAGTGTCATCCACATTTCTCCACCATATTTTTGGAGTAGGATTAAATGTATTAAGGGTAATATTTTTCATTGAGTCTACACCCAATACATGCAACAGAAATGACTCAATGCAAATACCAGAAATATGGAAGATATTATTACCGCCGGTCAAATCAGAAGAGAATAATAAATAATCTTAATATTCTATTTCAATTCAAGCACACCACAACATTCTAACAAGTAACTTATTATGACTATAGAAGCACTCGTCTTTTTCCCCATCTAATTGTAATTGCTCAATAACACTCGTATTATTATTTCTGAATGTACAATATCTCATATTGATTTTTATTCAAATGTCTAATCATCAATTTCACTCATGTATATAAATGAAGGAAAAAAGTTGTGTGAGTAACTTGATATGATTATTAGCAGCAATAATTTGTGCTCGAAACGTCATCAGTTAATATTACTGTACAACACTGTATGATTTATCAAAATAAAATCTTATCCATAATGGAACACTTGAAAACCCTAAAATCAATTAAATCCTTGCAAAATCAATGCTTGAAAATTGTATCTACCCCCCCACCCCCCAAAAAAAATAATCTTCTAAACACAAACAAGCACGCAACAAACATGAGCTGCTGAAAAGTATGCATCATCAGCAAGTAAACACAGAATTGTTACTTTTTGAAACACAACTTTACAATGACATTTTATCACTTTTAGCAATATGATCGATCGATCGCCAAAGGCCGACAATGAATTGATTAAACAAACCAAAGCAGAAAAAAATGATGTACACCCCGTCCCTATCAATCAATAACACACACACACACACACACGATAAAGGGAGAGAGAGAAAGTGAGTTTGAGAGAATAACACACACACACCACACACATTGCAGCCATGATGAAAGCAGTGAAATGTAATCAGACACAATAATCAATCAATCAATCAATCGATCAGCTGGAAAATCATCTAAGTTGGCAAAAATGAAGACACCATATTTCTTTTTCTTTTCACATGACAAAGGTAAATTATGTCAAACACAATGAATGAATGGTGGTTATCATCAATGATTGACTAGACTAGAGTAGAGTAAACTAGCCTAGCATGAGAAAATAAACCCGCATGACTCACTCACTCACTCGCTGACTTACTCAGTTATTCGGCACATCGTATTAAAGCAGCCGATGGTGGCAAAATAGGTCTAAGAGATAGTAGTCCAAGGAGAGAGAAAGTGAGAGACGGAGAAAATTAATGACTATTATTTAATACAAAATACTTTATACATTCACCGTATGCCTTTAGAGAATTCTAAGACAATATCTTAAGGATTAGAAAGTGTGTGTAAAGAAAGAGAGAGAGGTGTTTTATTGAGGTAAGGGTTGTGAATTAAGGATAGAAGGTTGAAGTGCACACAACACAGTATCAAGTATCTGTCCTAGTTCATGATACTGAGAACTATAGACAATGAAAGTAAAAAAAATCTACGAGAGCTCAAATTATTTGTCCAATATGTATGTATGTATGCCCTTCGAGTATTGACAGAAATCACAATGTGAACGAATAAAGGTGTGGTGAGAGTTGTCTGCTAGCCGAAATCGGTAGACAGTAGAGTAATTGACGTCAATGTTTACGTCCCATATCTTGGTCATAAGAAAAAAGCAAAAAACAAAGACTAACTCAACAACCAATCACAGCAGACTTAGCGTGGGCGGATACGATTCCTAGTTGTACGGTCTGACCTTGAAAGAAATGGCAGAATAACTTCCAGTGAGAAAACGACCAATCAGAAGACGCTGCTGTTTCTCTGCTAATAATAACGCTAATAATAATGTACATAAAAATCTATAAACATCTGTTGGTTTTGCCTGGCCCTTGCCCTGTCTTGTCTTAAATAGGGACAAGTAGCTAGAGGATATGTTGGCGCGTCAGTGATTCCATGGTAGAAGAATAGTCATTGACCATGCCTCGCATAGTCCAGAGTTCGATCCCCGATCGACTCACACCTGCTAAACTTCGCTTAACCACGGGGTAGTAAGCCCGATAAATTTGAAAAAATAAAACTTACACTTTTTAAACTACAAAGAACGTACAAATAGATCAAACTCAATACAACAAAACGAAAATGTTAGTGACCAGTTAACAATTCATTCACTCTATATATATATATATTCAGTGAATGAAAAAACCCATGGAGGGGGCTGATAATGTGAACTGTGTCAGATAACAACACAAATGAAATACACGAATAATAATAATAGCTTCATTTTCAAACAGTGCTGGATATCATGTACAGAACTTCCAGCAAAATTTACTGCATGATAGTTTCTCCTTGTCCCAAGGATCTTCAAGAAAAATAGTAATTCGTAGTAGATCCCTACAGTGCTATATAATCTGAAACTTAAACCGACACCTTAGGATGTTTCTCCTTTGAGAGATTCACGACAATTGGTTGAAAGAAGCAGGAGTATAATTTAAAGCCCAAGGATAAGACCGATTAGTTGTAGACTGTGACGGTAGTGAGTTTTATTTCTTCTCAGGCTAAAAGTCTTAAGAATATTAGCTATCTCATGTATTGGAATACGTTGCCAGTCACGACTTAGTCTTTTCTCATGTATTATTAATATTGTCTCCCTTAGTTCCTAGAGGAACATAGGGTTTGCGTTCTGTTCTCCGCCAACGTTTTCATCTGGCTCCACGTCTGCCCACATGCTTTTATCCTTTCTTCACATGACCTCCTCCACTCCATGTCACCCACGCACTGAAGACCAACTCACCGCTTTCCGTTCAGGTTACACCCGAGGGCCTGTCTTGTGATGTCACTCACTTGATGGTTCTCTCAGAGTATGGCCAGTCCACCTACCTCCATTTCTTCCTGCATGTTTGTTGCACAATTGGTTCCTGCTGGGTTGGTTCGCTCATTGCCAGAGGTCCCTCCCTGTTTCTGATCTTTTCTGAGTCACCATCTGATCTAGAGTAGTATTGAGCGAAGTGAGCTGTCGATGAAGGTGTGTAGATGTTTGATGATGAAGAGTCCCAAACTAGGCTGACGAAACAGCTAACTGTCCAGTACTCCCTGGCAGGTTTTCCAGTGGTTCTCTAACTGATGTCAGCTCATGATGAAATCCTCCATGCAATCAAACAAAATCCCTACAAAACCAATACTTGAATATTATTATTATCAGGAATAATACTGGTGGTTTTATCAGGGATTTATCAGTGAATATCTTCGTGAGAACTATTTGTCATGCACCTCTATAGGAAGAAAATCTTAGAACCTTGTTCAAAAAATTGTCATCAAAACGGTACATTATATATGTATATTAAATTTACTTACCGTTTCGTCCAAAAGAAATGCCCCACCAGGAAGAATATCCCAATGAACAGGTGTGTACAACCAGTGATTAGACAAGCTATTCCAAGACTGGGATTTTTTGCGCCTAACCAGCTTGTATTAGCTATAATAATTGCTTTTCGACCATTGAATGAGGCAACTGGATAGGCTGAAATTAGAAAATACATTTTTACTATGAATGCATTATTACATTTCTTTTTTTTTTTTTTTAAGATAAAAACATCCTGAAATTCTACCACCTAATGATGCCTACATAGATAATCTGATGACACTGACTGGTTTCAATGTAGAACTTTGCATCAGTGTGCTGCAGTTCAAGTCGCCACACTTCACTTACCACACAAAGCAAGAGAAGTAAAAGGAAATGCAAAATAAAGAGAGAGAGAGAGTAAACAGAGATATAAGGCAAAAAGAATAGTAATATCGAAGAACAATATAGTTTTATTGGGTATTATAAGTCACAAGGAGTGGATACATCTGCGACAACCATTGAGAACGATTTTCAGTCATATCACAGATTGCCTCCAGCCGCCATTGGTATTTACCGATCGATGTAACTTCAAAGCCTCGTCTATTGATTTCCCCCCCCCCCCAGTACTCCATCGATGCCTAACCTCAATATTGCTCATCCTATTATACCACCTAGCGCGGGAGATAAAATGCAGGCACCTATGATCAAAGACAGCTAGCCATCCTTTTCATGTCTTCCACTCTCAATGGTCATGTGTTACTCACAGCCATAAAGGAGGATGGAGCGAACTGCTGAGCAGTACACACGCCCTTTGGTCGACAGCCGGATATCACGTCTACTAAGCCAGAGACGGCGTTAACTGACATATGCGAAACGAGCCTTCTGCATCCTTGCTGAAATTTTGTCAGCGATCAACCCGCTGGCGTTGGCTGATGCAACTTCCCAAATAAGTGAAGTGGTCAACGCGCTCCACCAACCACTTCAATTCCTGTCTTTTAGCAGCGAGTCAATGTAGTTCAGTCCAGTCCTGTAGCATCATTTAATATTTCACAGGAGCGAATCGCACGCCAAACATTCGAGGATTGCAGCTCAAGGTGTTCAGAAGACTCTGCTGGATTTTGTCAGCGTCTTCACCTATTTGAGGGGACTATATCATCTGCAAATTCTAAGTCAACGAGATTATACGCTAGTAATAAATCAATCCCTAAGTCGCTGAAGTCAGCATTTAGGGTTAATTCCATTAGTACATATATATGATGAAATTAAACAGGAATGGGGACAGTGGGCATCCCTGTCTGATACCACTGTTTGGGTTCTCTGAGCTGGTTGATTTCATTGCGAACCTCTCTCTTTGTCCCTTCTAGACAACATCTTCAGAGTAAGTTTTATAAATGAAATGAACTTATTGGAATTCTCCATGAATGACAACCATTATCGTGATTGGTTGTTGATTCACATCTCTATCGATCATTTTTATTGACTTGGAATTTAAAATTTTCTGTCATGGGATTTACTTTTCATTAGTTAGTAAATTTGATCTGTGGTAATAATGGGTTTGTTAATTGCGGATTCATCTGAGTACCAGACTCGGGTTTCTAGAAATTCCCTGGCATTTCATCTATTCAAAACTTCTGTAAAACTCAGTCAGCTCGTCACTACTTTAGTTGATAGGCATCTGAATACATGCGAAAAATGGTCAAAAACCATACTCTCCGACCCCCAACACCCCCTCTATTCCCAACTCTCGCCTTGTATCTCATCAAGTAAAACCAGAAATCAGTATAAAATAATCTATGCTCGTACAACCAAGTACAGGAACTCAACGATACCATACTTGGCCCGTGTTCTAAGTGATAGAGACAATGTTAAGCGTGAAACTTATGACTTGCTTTGTTATTAAAAACATAATTTTAGGCTCTTTTATTTCTCTCTTATTTTGTATTCTTTAGTGAACTCCTTCTTCAAACATGCTTAGCTACCTAAAATATTAACATTGGCTTCCTTTTTTGTACTTTACTATATTCCTTCTATTGTGTATCCACTGGTTCCGACTCTATTAGCACTATGAGTATTACAAAATTGTCCTGTCATTAACCATCATGTAACTATTAGTTTTTGTGGTTGTTGATTTTTTGTTGGGCACTATAAACTGACAATCTTGGTTGTGAACGCCATTGTCACCATCTTAAAATTTTGTATTATGCAGGATTACTCACACTACCACTACAAACACTGCATTAGACCTGACAATAAAAAAAACAACCCTGAAATATTATTTTGTTTGTTTAGTGTTGTTTCAATCAAATTAACTGACCATCTTGGCGATAAACATTCTTAAATATCATTTCATAACTTCTTGTATGACTATAGCTTTACTGCCACCATGCATAATCATATCATAGCTTCCACTACCCAATACTGAGATATTATTGTATGTTGTTTATTTTCCTTTCTACTTCTTTGTATTTTTTTCGCACTTAAAAAATTATTTTTGTGTTTTTTTGTTGTTGTTGTCTTTATATTTATTTTTTGAAATACTCCTTTTAAATGTTTGATAAAATTAGGTGCAAATATTGTAGATATGTGCTGAAAATTCCACACTGTACCACTAGTACTGTTTCTGGAATAAAGCAAATTATTATTATTTATTATTATCAAATTCATGTCCGTAATTATCTACAAGTACCGATATGAAAGAATACATATCGTGTCTTATCACAGCTAATTTGTATTGTTAGGTTCGGGTTCGAAGGGGACCCACACTTTGACCGATGTAATGTTTATCGCAGTCCATGCCGTTTATATTGTAGACGGTATTAACCTTATCTTCTTTTGTTGTTGGATCCTGTGGTCTGGACAATAGTGAATGAAGTGATTGTGCTGGCTCGCCTGCTATATATATTTCCGATGGTCTTAGTATTCTAGCCGTTATTTCAGAGATATTCTTTATATGTGTAGGAACGAATCGTCTTATCATCTTTGATGACGGTTTCTTGTTAGTATTACAAATTGAGTTTAAACACTTTTTGATGAAATTGTGTGTGTGGGTATTCATTCTTCTTGAAGGCAGTAAGTAAATATTTCTCTTCCATTCTCTTCAGCGCTGAAGTGCTACGATGTGTTTGGACTCTTTTATTAAAATGTTTGCACACAGTTTGTTTTTGTGAATCATTGGGTTATTGTTATTTTATAGTGGCTACACTGCAAACTGATGGAATTCAGTCTGCTCTAAACAAAGCACTCGACGCATGACACCAGTTGGTGTCCAATCAAAGTATGCAATACCATTCCGTAGGAGGTCAATCGCAAGCTCGAGGTGGCAGATACGCCGCCTTGCTGACTGGTGTGAGTGCCAATTAGGACGTAACCTAGGTCAAGCAAGGCTTCCTGTGGCCGATTGCCTCCAGCTGCTCAGCAGTCCGCTCCGTCCTCCTTTATGGCTGTGAGACCTGGCCATTGAGAGTGGAAGACATAAAAAAGATGGCTAGCTGTCTTTGATCATAGGTGACTGCGTTCTATCTCCCGTGTGTGTTAAGTGGTATAATAAGGTGAGCAATATTGAGGTTAGGCGTCGAGTGCTAGGTAGGTGGGAGGGGAAATCAATCGATGAGGCTGTGAAATTACATCGACTGAGATGGTTAGGACATGTGTTACGTGTGCCTAGTCATCGCCTTCCTCGACGGGCAATGTTAGCTGATATAGGGTCAGGCTGGAAAAGAGCTAGCGGCGGTCCAACCAAAACATGGCCCGATGAGTCAATGAAATCTACAACAGTTAGTCTAAGCCACGTAGGAAGGTGTCGACTGGCTTCCTGGTTGGAGTCATCGGGACGGTAAAAACCAATGGTTGGAAACAATTGGTGATATGGCTCAAAATCGTTCTCAATGATGGCTGGCGCTTATGATTTCCAGTTAAACTGTTTTGTCCTTCGTTATTACTATACCTTTGTCTCACACCTCTGTTTACTGTCTATATTATGCATTTCTCCTACTTTCTTCTCTTGCTTTGTGTGCTACATGGAGGGAGTGTGGCGACTTGAACTGCCGCACACATGTGCAAAGTTCTATGTCGAAAATAGACAGACAGACAGATTACCTGCAACTACCTAATACCACCAACTCAACATATATCAACCTTCATAGCTTTAAAATCAATCAATACAAAGAAAGAAAGAAAAGCTATGACGTAACGCTACTGTTTTTTAATACAAAAAAAAGATTAATTTAACTTACAATAACGAATTGTAATTTCATAAGTTCCTGGAGGCATACCATCCGTGAAATCACCTGCGTGCGATACACGACCGTACAATTTACGAAAGAATGGTAAAGCAGCTATTCTCATCCAGACAATTAAATCTTCATCTGTTGGAAATGGCTTTGGCGATCTCTGTTGGATTGATACAGGCCAATTGGGTGGTTTCACTGTATTATTGAGAGCTACAATACAATACAAGCAACAACAAAAGTAAGAATGTGAAAGATTAAAAAAACATACAGAATAACTACTTTGGGGGAAGCACTAGTTTAGTGTATATTTAAGTAGATATGAATTCATTTCATAACATGTGAGTTTCAACACAGGACTTTGCACAGAAAGTAGATATGATGGAGAAGATTTGTAGCTCCAGTGGATGATTTTGCTGTGGTTGTGTTCTCTGAGCTAGCTGGATGGGGTTTATTTGCAAAGCTTTCATTGCCCCCTCCCAAACACACTAAGCAACATCTTCACCACATACACTTCAAGTTGAAGGAGGAAGTGAGCTCTTTTTAGATTTCTCCACAAGTTCACTATTAGTCATCTCTCCTGGTGACCACCTTGAACCACCTTGACTCTTTGGTTGCTCTTGGCCGTTTACTTATAATGGTATTGGTGTTGTTTGTTTCCCTGACCTGGAGTTTGACCCTTTGTGTGTGTGTGAGGTTTCCTTCTTATCGGTTGGTAAATTTTGTCTATCTCGATGTGTCTACTGATTGACGATTCATTGGAATATCAGGCTTCTAAAAATTCTCTGGCTAGCGTTCTTGGTGTTTTTTCTGTCTAATATTTGAACTTTGGTTGTCCCAGTCGAATTGATGTCCGTGGTTGTCTGTATGTAGGAGTGATATGAGCGAGGGAGTGGATGTCATATCTTTTGATGGCTAGCTTATGTTCATGGATACGAAGACGAAGGGGACGTCCACTTTGGCCAATGTAGTGTTTTTCGCAGTTGTTACAATTTATTTTGTAGATGATGTTGGTTTTATCTTCTTTCGTTGTTGAGTCTTTTGGTTGACACAGAACCACCAGCTGAGTGAAGTGATTTTGTTGGTTTGTGTGCGACATCGATTCCTAAAGATTTGTAGAGTTTTGCAGTGATTTTTGAGATGTCCTTTATGTGTGGTAGGGCGATTTTCTTTGTGCTTTCTCCTTCGGAGCCTTTGATTTGGTAGGTTGGCGGCTTGGGGGTATATGTCTTTTGGTGAAATTCCGTGGATATCCATTCTTTTGGAAGATGTCGATGAGATATCTTTCTTCAATTTTCCTTGAGGTGGGAGTGCTGCGATGAACCCTGGCCCTCTTGAATATTATTTGTTTGTTTGACGTCGCACACAAACCAACAAAATCACTTCACTCAGCTGGCGGCTCTGTGTCAACCAAAAGACTCAACAACGAAAGAAGATAAAACCAACATCATCTACAAAATAAATTGTAACAACTGCGAAAAACACTACATTAGCCAAAGTGGACGTCCCCTTCGTCTTCGTATCCATGATCATAAGCTAGCCGTCAAAAGACATGACATCCACTCCCTCGCTCATATCACTCGCTACATACAGACAACCACGGACATCAATTCGACTGGGACAACCAAAGTTCAAATATTAGACAGAAAAAACACCAAGAACGCTAGCTAGAGTATTTTTAGAAGCCTGATATTCCAATGAATTGTCAATCAGTAGACACATCGAGATAGACAAAATTTACCAACCGATAAGAAGGAAACCTCACACACACAAAGGGTCAAACTCCAGGTCAAGGAAACAACACAACACCAATACCATTGTAAGTAAACAGCCAAGAGCAACCAAAGAGTCAAGGGTTCAAGGTGGTCACCAGGAGAGATGACTAATAGTGAACTTGTGGAGAAATCTAAAAAGAGCTCACTTCCTCCTTCAACTTGAAGTGTATGTGGTGAAGATGTTGCCTAGTGTGTTTGGGGGGCAATGAAAGCTTCGCAAATAAACCCCATCCAGCTAGCTCAGAGAACAGAACCGCATCAAAATTTGCACAGAAGTGCAACACTTCATGTAGTACACAAAGGTAGACAAAATGTGGGGAGAGTAAAAGAGATTCAAAAGGACTATGCAAAACAGAAATGTGGGGGAGGGGGGAGGAAGAATAGTAATGTCGGAGATAAACATGCGGCTTAGTAGATATGGGAGATTACAAAGAGTGAATATGCAACTGTGCCAGTCATTGAGAACGATTTTGTGCCATATTACCCAACAGTCTCAAGTCAGTGGTTCTTAGTGTCTTGAGTACCCCAGTCAGGCAGCCTACACCTCCCTAAGTCGCATAAACTAACTGTCAAAGATTTCATGGACTGATTCCACGTTTTGGTCTGACCATCCTTAACCACCACTTTTCAAACCAATCCTATATTACCTAACATTCTCAACACGAAAGTCAATGCCTTCACATGTTTAGCATGTTTTCACCAACTCAATCAATTCACCTTTACACCCTCGTCGATTAATGTACTATACCTAACACTTCACACCCAACCTTATTATTATATATTATTATAATATTATTCCCTTGCGTTCCGAGTGGAACATAGGGCTTCAACAACACATCTACACTTTGTTCTGTTTTCTACCGTCCTCTTCAACTGGATCCAAGATTGACCGAACTCTCCCATCTCCTCTTCACACGATCTCCTCCATGTCACTCTCGCACTGACGACCCACTCGTTGCTTCCCAACGGGATTCCACCCGAGGGCCTGCCGTGCGATGTCATTCGGTGGCCTACTCAATGTATGCTCGATCTATATCCACTTTCCCCCATATATTTGTTGAGCAATCTGCTCTTGGTTGGTCAGCTCCCATAGTTTCTCGTTGCTTATTCTTTCTCGCCAGTCGGCCGGCCATTTGATCTTCAGTATGGAGCGAAGGCAGCTGTTGATGAAAGTCTACAACCTGTTGGAAATCCTTTTCGTGACACGCTGACCAAGTTTCTGACCCGTATAGAAGAACCCACTTCACATTGGTGTTATTAATATTATTATACCAATAAATACGGAAGATGGAATGCAACCACCTGAAGTCAAAGACAGTTAATCTTTTCATATCCACCATTTCAATGGCCATGCGTCGTAACACAAGTCCTAGCTATCTCAACAGATAAAACAACAAGCTAGGCACTTGTATTCCTACGTAGAATACGGCTCAGATGCAGTTAAGTTCCCACCTAATCGATGAAGCAATTACGTGCAATATTGTTAGCTATAGTTAGTTAGATCTCAACTATCCAGTAGTAGGCTATAAGCCACACTTGTTGTGTGAGCGCTAAATGATACTACCCAACTGCCCAGGCTGAAGTAGGTGGAGCGGGACTCGAACCCAGGACCCACGGGCTGAAAGTAGAGTGATTAAGCCAATGCGCTGCATCTTCACATGTAATATTACAATTAGCAATTTTAGCTACACGCTTAGATCCCCCTTAGAGACGAGTTTTTTTATAGAAATAACCACCTCTCCCTTATGTGCCTGAGTTTAAAATCAAATCTTCGGGGTACAATGAACCAACCAATTATGCTGAGGAGACAAGCCAAAGTTCATACAAAACATTAAAAAAATGAATTCACGAATTGTAAATAAGTGAAATAACCGTTACATTATTATGGATAGTGATGAAAAAAAACCCACTCACCTTTACCATCCAAAACGCCAAATTTCCTCGCTATATCAGATGGCCAAGCGATACCAGTTTTTAAAGTGTCAACAGTAACTTTTGTTTTATCATCACGTACATATTGTATAGTAAAAGTATCATTAAATATACTATTTGCAACTGCTCCACATGGAAGTATTGCTTTACCATCGATTGATGAATACGGCTCACAAGAAGACAGAGAACTTGGATCTTGATAACTACCAAGCAATTGGTCATCATTTTTAGATCGTGCATATCTTCGATGATTTTGATAAAAATTACTTAAACTATAATAGACAAAAACAGGTCCAGGAATAAATGTTTTAATAGACACTTGTTCAGAACAGATACATGAATTTCCAGAAACAGCCACTACAGAGCATGAGACCTGTGAACCTGTTTGTGTACAATCTGTATAGTCGACGTAGTATTCAATAACATTATTTGAGGTTAACAATAGTACAACACCGATTGGTAGTAGTATTATTCCAAATACAATAAACATTATGCCAGATTTTTTTGCCGTAAACATTGGTTGCCATGCTGGTAGTTTTTGTTGGAAAAATGCGGAATTTTTAGGTTTTCGTGATTTTACAGTAGTATCAAGAAATTGTTGACTCATTTATATCCAGATATAACTGAAAAGGGGATAATAATAATAATAATGTTAGATAAATGTCTTCACTGAACTTAGACATGATTAGACAAAATGAATTGACATACTACAAAAACGTGTGCATATAAATGACCTGTAGAAGTGTTCTAGGTACGTTAAGTTCAAGTACAATGTGAAAACTGCTGTAATAACTTGGAAATACCCTGAATTGGAAGTTTGGATACTCTTATTATTATGATTGTTATTATTTAAAACAATTAGTTCCCTTTATAAATTTAGTTAGATAAAGCAATAAGAAGGAAGACATAATTTGTCTGAATCGTGTAATGTATGTATTCGCGCAACACACTTCGAACAATCTGATCACACTTCACGGACTTGTCATAGGATTGTATATATATGAAATTAATAAAGAGTTAAGAGGTGAGAAAATAGACTACTTAGGTCAAGTTAAAAGGACATATTGAAGGTCAAAATAACAACAATGAAGATCACTAAACCAAATAACAGAGGTAATTGTACATCTGATATGGTATCAAAACAAATTTACCAAAGAAGGTTTAATGTGATGATGTGCGTCCGTGGCACAGCGGTTAGGACTCTCGCCGACCATGCACATGGTCCGAGGTTCGATCCCCCGCTGACGCACACCTGATATCTATGGTTGGCCTGCTAAATTTGGGCTACCGATATCACACGCTGAAAATTTCATACTTGTACCAAAATACTGTGTGGAATCAAGCTATAATAAAATAACATTAAAATTAAATTCTTACTTTGAACGCATAAAGGTGGTTTAAACTTCCTAATTCGGTCGGTCGGTCGGTTTTCGACATAGAACTTTGCACATATGTGCGGCAGTTCAAGTCGCCACACTCCATGTAGCACACAAAGCAAGAGAAGAAAATAGAAGAACTGCATAATATAGACAGTAAACAGAGATGTGAGACAAAGGAACAGTAATAACGGAGAACAAAACTTCCTAATTGCTAGCTAAGGCTTCCACAAACTTTAGGATACGCCCTCCTCCAAACACGTTTTATTGATAGGTTTAAAAGATGTGTTAGCATCAATTTTATGTCCTGTCTCCTCTGTAATATGTTTCACAATAGAGGAGCTAGGTCTCCTGTTCTCACCATTAATGGGTTCTGAAGATTCTATTTGATTTTGGCGCCATTTAGGAATATGCTCTGAAGCCAGCCCTTACTTGCAGAGATCGATGAGTCCTCCCTCCTATGTATGTGTCCATACGTACATTCAAATAGGGAAATGCAGTGGGATGTGACATCATTTTTCGCATGTTCAAAGGGCTTCGATGGATGGATATATTGGCTTCACATTCTCAATTATTGTGATATTAGCCAATATATCTGAATCTTTATAAGTACCGATTTGATCACTTGAAAAGAGACCTTGGCTTCCGTATCTTGTCTTCTGCTGTTACAACTGACAGACATTACTGACTGAGTTTAGTTCCAATAATGAGTAATAATTGTGCATATCAGTAAGCACATGCCCCGGAACAGGCTGGATTCAGGAGGAACAAGTCATGCATTGACCAGACCGCCACATTACGGATCATCATTGAGCAAAGCTTAGAGTGGCAGTCACCTCTCTATCTCAACTTCATCGACTTTGAAAAGGCCTTTGACAGCGTCTATCGAGAGGTGATTTGGGAACTACTTCGCTACTACGGGGTGCCACCGACAATAATACATCTTATCCAACAGCTATACGACAATGCTGCATGCCAAGTAATCCACAATGGGAAACTTACGGAACCCTTCGAAGTGAGGACAGGAGTAAGACAAGGCTGCCTGCTATCGCCAATGATTTTCGTGATTGCAGTAGAGTGGATAATGCGACAAACAGCGGGCCGGCCAGCGTGCAAACAGGCATAAAATGGACTCACACAAAAAACTTGAAGGATCTGGACTTCGCCGATAATATATGTCTGATTTCCCACAAACTGGAAGATATGCAAGAGAAAAGCAACAAGTTGGCAGAAGAAGCATCAAAGATAGGACTTCAGGTGAACATAGAGAAAACAGAGGTGATGAAGATTTCTGGACAAGAACAACAACAGACAACGATCAGCATAAATGGGAGGAACCTGAAAGAAACAATCTCCTCCACCTACCTGGGAAGCATCGTTTCAACGACAGGTGGAACTGACGACGATATCAAAACAAGAATCGGAAAAGCAAGACAAGCTTTCACTACTCTCAAGTCTGTGTGGAGGAGATCAACAACACTCAGCATCAAAAATGAAATCCGGATTTTCAACTCCAATGTGGATTCAGTGCTACTTACTATACGGATCAGAGACTTGCACTGAGCGTCATAAAGAGCATCTCAAACAAACTACACACCTTCATTAACAGCTGTCTTCGCTCAATACTCAAGATCAGATGGCCAGAAGATATCAGCAACAGAGATCTCTGGCAATGAGCGAACCAACCAGGAACCGATTGTGAAACAAATAGGCAAGAAGAAATGGAGATGGATTGGAGGCCATACTCTGAGGAAACCATCAAGTGACATCACTAGATAAGCCATTGCTCGAGTGGAACCCGAAAGGGAAGCGGCGAGTTGGTCGTCAGTGCAAGAGTGGGTGACTTGGAGGAGGTCATGTGAAGAGGAGATGAAAGCATGTGGGCAGACTTGGAGCCAGGTGAAGACTCTAGCAGAGAACCGGACGCAATGGAGGTGCACGGCTAAAGCCATATGTTCCTCTAGGAATTAAAGGATACAATAATGATAATAATATGTATCACTAATATTCTAAGATTTCATTTAAGCGAACAAACAGTAAAAGTTCGGACAGGAATTCAAGTAGTTAGGTAAAAAAAATTTGAGATGTTTGATTACTTTGCGATCAGGAGAAATCAAATATGTATCCAACTAAATTCACTTGTGTCATTTTGTACGTATGGTGAAGAATTTAAGCTATACCCAGAATAAATACCAAAATAACCCATCCTTAGGCTACACAACCGAATTTACATTATAAATACTAGGCAAAAAGAAGAAATATTCTTAAACGCATCTAAAATATACTCAGCTTTTGATTAAAGCTGAAGACACTTGTGAGAAATTATGAAACATAAGTAATAACAACATGCATATTTATTAGAACCAAAGGGAGATTGATTAACTAGCCTAAATAACGCAGCGTAGTTGGAAGAAACAAATGCGACTCAATAATAGAAAATTTGAACTGCAAAAAAGAGACAGTAAGGAGAGAAAATATATTCTGAGAGCAGAAAGATAGAAAGAAGGACTTCCAAAAACAGAAGGACGGTACATGTTACGTCCATTCTAAAGTTTAGGCGGAATTTCTTCATATGTGGAACTCAATCCTTAAAATGAGAATTACCACAACTCATGCAGTTTAAATAACCCTTAGGAAGGTTTCCACATACTCTACAGATAACACTAAAGTTGACATGAGGATCCACTTAGTAGACTTGTATGAGTACTGAGAGACAAATATAGGATTCTACTTATTTTATTCGAGTATAGGATTTTCACACGTGCATCTCTTATAGAAAGTGGCATTATGTAACTTAAGCAAACGTTGTAGCAGGATGTTCCATTAGCAACTCATCAGTAGTAGTGGAAACTGTCTAGTTTGTCTCATCCTAGCTTTACAAATATAGGTATACTTCCTTTATATGGACCTTGGGTATACACTGCTAACCCTACAGTTGGGATTGTTATTTTCACAAGAGTATTTGGTCGTAGATTTGCAACATACCAATATGTGGTTATTGCTACTTTTACATTTCGTTTTTAACACTCACGCAAGTAAAAAAAATACATTCGTGCAATTACACCACAGCAGTCACCCCTATCGGCTTTATCACTTTTTTTGAGCAAATAATAGCAATTAAAGGACAACAGAATTCGTGAAAATTGTTAAAACGATGACTATAGATAAGTGTTCCGAAATCCCTTTATATTTCTGACTCTCTTCTTCAATCCACCTTAAAATACCAGTCATCCTGTCAAGTTTCCCCCGAACATGCATGTTTTAATAACTCAAACGAATCCACTATTCACATTGTAATCAAACACTTGTTCTTCCTGGAACTCGTTCAAAAAATCCACAACAGAGGGCTCAATTTGATTTGGTTAGAAAAAAAAAGGTAATTCCAATTGGTTTTTGAAGGTCACGTGTCTGAGTGGCTGCTATAGTTTAACTCCACCCATTAACATTAGCAGAAATACCTTGGCACACTACTTCAATAGAATGAATTTGAGATACGTTTGAAGGGTATGTTATCAGAAGGATAACTTCTATTTGCATCTTGTTGGCAAATATACAATGTTTTGTTGAATAATAAGACTGAATGTGAATGACTTGCTGAAGTGTATAGCATCTATGAGTTCTTTGTATGAATTCCCTCACGACTTTACACCAAGTACACCATGGCACATAATCAACATACAGACGGCGCAGAATGAACTGAGTGTGTGAGGTCAACGTAATGACATGCAAAAAGAAAACAAGTGAAACGTGAAGTTGACCAGTGGCTAATGCATAACAGCAACAGGTATCGCATCATCCTTCCCATAAAATAGTAGCCCCGAGAGCTTGGCTAGTCCCAATGCGTCTTACATCCAGTGATGGGTGTAACTGCCAGAAAAAACTAGTGTCAAATTTTGAATTAGGTACCTATATGGAGATAGTTTTTTACAACATACTGCAGCAGTCAACACTGGGTACAGCCTTGCTTTACCACAAACCTATAGATAGATGGCTTTAGCACCTGAATTTGAAGAGACTTCAAGAGAACATCATAACTTCGTAGATAGCCATAAGTATTACATTTTCGATCTTCGAAATGTGTTAACTTCGATTAACAAATTTCCCTTATTATTTGTCGCTCCAATTATTAATTCTTCGTCATTAAAGCAATTGATTCTAACAAACTAAATGATCTTAGGCATAAGAGAAATGAATCAGTAAGAAGTACACCTCTATGAAACTAAATTCAACCTACGTTCCGTTACTG